TAATCGTTTTTTGTGATTATACTTGTTGGCATGCTATACGTTTAATTAAGGGCAATCCATATTTTACTTACTGAGTTTATCTCATAGTTTTCCTTATCCACCATTTCAGGAAGTGAAATCGAGGGCGGGGAAACCATGGGAAGTGACGAGTTAGAAGGCTAGCCATCTTGTAAATTGAGTATAGATTTAGATAAATCATGATCTTGTAAACTAGACCTTATTTGGAGATTTTATGATATTAGAGAGATTTTAAGAATTTAATCTTCAGATTTTGATGGTATTAGATTGTGGTATAATAAGTTCCGAGCCTTGTGCATTTGTGGGACCCTCTCACGAGTGCACGGTGTTTGTCGCGTCCCCAGATTTGGGTTCTGGGGCGTGACACAGCTTTTGTCCGAAGTTTCTGGTGGACCTTCAAAAGATGGGCAACTTTATGGCACGCCTATATACATGGACCCTGCGGAGCAAAGGGTCTCACACCGCAAGCAACCGCCGCATACCATACTTGACAATTCTGTTCAGTCATCCCAACGAGTGATCCCATTGCAACAGATTGTAACAGAATTACAAGAGAATCAACTGACATTACAAGAGAAGGTTGAGAGGATGGAGAGAAGAATTTTTTTATGACGCAATAAGGGATGCAGAGACGGATGTAAGGAGATGGAGGGGCTGGGACAAGTGGGGGAGCATAATTGGCATTGTTTTCAGTTGATTTTTATATCAAAACATCTTTTACTATTATATATGAAATGGACATGTCTGAGATTGGGGCATAGTGCTATAATTAGTTAGTATTTCATATTATAACACTTTAATTATGATATTAGGTTATATTTTAAAGTTATGTGTTTTTAGATAAAGCTTTCAATTGCATGTTTTAATCTATATTTAAAACCTATGGGTAATTAATTGGTATAATTTTTTATATTAAAATATTTATAAAATTTAGATAAAAAAGTTTGAACCAAATTAAGCAAAAAAGAGAAAGTGTCAACAAGTAGGAAATAGAATAACAATTAGGGGACTTCACTAACCTATTTGAAACAAACAAATTAATATATTTGTCCTAGTGATTAATTCGGTCAAATTATGTGACCAAAAAAATCCATGAATTTGTTTGGTCAAACTACTTGACCGAACTAGGGAAAGTATTTATTTCAGTCAAGTGCCTTGACCGAAATAACATGAACAGTAACACCCCATTTATTCTTGCAGAATTTGGTGGACAATATCGTTTTACGCTATGCATATGACTTCAGTCAATACGATTGACCAAATAAATATGACAAAAAATCTAAACCAGATTGACATGAACTAGGGAAAGCATTATTTCGGTCAAGACACTTGACCAAAATAACTTGAACAGTAATGCTCGATTCCTTGCAGAATTTGGTGGAGAGTATTATTTTACCCATATTACTTCAGTCAAAATGCTTGACCAAATAAATATGACAAAAAAATCTAAACTGGATTGACATGAAGGATGGGACAGTTGTGACTTTGATTTTTTTGGTCAAATTAGTAGACCGAAATAATTGGTTTTGTTTTGTTTTTTTAATGTGTTTGGTCAAAAGTTCTGACTTGCATAAATTTTTGGTTCTGTGATGATGGTGATTTGTAAATTTGAAATCAGATTCTCCTATTTCCCATTGCATTTTTTTTAGTATTTGTAGTAGAAATAAGTAGATATTTTTAACTTTCTCACAAACTCCACTTCTTCCTACTCATACAGTCTTTTCTACAATTTCTCGATAAGTCTTTGGGTGAAACCAGAGACTAATTAATAGTTGTTGCTACTTGTTGTGGCCTCAATTTAGTAGTTTTTGGGACTTTTAAGTTAAGGAAGGTATGAGTATCTACAATCTTCCTCTTTTTTCTTTTTTCTTTCTTGTATTTGACATTTTTTTAATTAATTTTTGTCATAAATTTAGTTTTAAATACAATATTGATTGATTAATTAATTGTGTTTCACCACTTTGTGTTTCGATCTATTATTCTATCCTATTAATTTGGGTTGATGTTAGTTAAATTTTATATTTTAATTTAAAAAAAATATAATTTATATTTAATCACAATATTTTTAATGTTTTTAAATGTGATATTTGTTCTTCTATCATAATTTTCATTTTCATTATTGTGGTTTTTACTTTTTGTGAGTGATTAATTGATTTTATTTCGACTTAGGAATTGTGGTATAAATTTTTTGTTTCTGGTGCATTTGTCCTACTCAAATAAGTAATTTCTCCTTCATTTTTCTGAAATAAAAGTCTGTCAAACTATAATTATGTTATATAAATTTTTTCCTTTATTTTTTTTTAGAAATTTAGTTTAGAAAGAAATAAAAATATGTATGATTAGTAATTGGTAATGTATGATTAAATAAATCAAATTATTTCTCATAAAATAATGATTTTATTATTCAATTCATTGATAAATATTGATGACTTTTATTAATTAATTGATTGATTAAAGAATTGTGATTATATGCTTTTATTGTTAAGTAAACTATAATTAATTAAATTATTTGATTGCTAAAAAAGTATAATTAATTAGAATGATTATAATTGATCGATTAATAATTTATAATTACATATTTAATTGCTAAGTAAATTACGATTAATTCAATAACTTAATTAATTTTAAAATTATGATTTCATTATTTACTTGGATGATAAATAAGTATTACAATATTATTTAATTAATTGATTATAAAATTTCTATGTGCTAAATGTCAATTAATATTACTTTTAGAGCAAAATGGACAGTCAAGATTACTTTGATGGCCAAATGGATAGTCAACCATACTTTGATAGTCAAATAGACAGTCTATCCATTTTGCCAAATATGTGATATTCCTGGACATTTAACTATTATATGCCCGCATCAATATGCAGTAACTTGTCAACTGTATAACCGTAAATGTCATACTGCAAAAGTTTACCCAAATCGTTATCGATAAAAAATCGTGTCAAACCCATCTAAAACACTTGCTAAGTCCTCTACAACTATTACAAAGATTTTACATAATGGTCATTTGCATCTAACATTTTCAAACAAATCTTTGGATGAGGCATGTGAAAAAGTACGTCCTATTCAAGAACCATAGTATCTTTACCTAACTTACATATATTTTGCAATATATTTTCTAATTTCCCTTATCCATGTAAGAGATTAAGACATAGCAATTTAATTAGTATTCTATGTCATGACACTTTAATTATGATATTAAGTTATCTTCTGTATTTATGTGTTTCAATTACATGTTTTAATATATGTTTAGAATATAGAGCTAATTAATTTGTAAAAATTTTATATTATATTATTTATAAATTTTATCTAAAAAAGTTTGAAACAAATTAAGTAAAAAACAAGACTTAACAAAAGCAGGAACTATACAACAATAAGTAGGAGACTTAACAACCTATTTCGATCAAAACACTTGACCAAAGAAGGCATAATCCCATCCAACTCCAAGAAAAAAAAAAGTGATTTGTATTTTAGTCAATAGACTTGATTGAAAAAAGGCAGCATAATATCCCACGCTTCTGACCAATAATTGATCTTTAATTTGGTCAAAATGATTAGTTTGGTCAAGTAGAATAACCGAAATAAGCTCAAAAAAAAAAAAAAAATGATACCACCTCAATCTTTGCCAGAAAAATTAGGGAAAATTTTGAAATTCCCTTTACATACAATTCAGTCAAAATGTATGACTGAATTAAAAACATATTCCTACTCTAGCTTTTGCTTTTTTTTTCTTTTTTTTTTTTTGCAAGAAAGTATTTCAAAATTTTTGGCCTTTTATTTCGGTCAGTCATATTGACTGAAATAGTCCATGCCTATTTATATATATTGTCACGCCCCAAACCCCAGAGCGAGATAGATGCCGTGCACTCGTGAGTGGGGCTCACAAATGCACAAGGCTCAAAACCTATTGAGTTCTTACTTAACAATTCAGACAATTCGGATCTAAACCTTTTTACTTACCAAATATTTACCAGTCAAGATGTACAAAATTTATAACTTCATATATACAATCGTGACTAAAACTAAGTTCTGTACACAAAACTTCTAAGTCAAGCATGGGTGACTAACGGCCTAGCTACAAAATCTAAGTCCAAAAGTGCCTAGCCATCTAGCTCGTCACTCCCCCGGGCTCCCCATGCGTCGGGTCTCACTACCTGAAATGGTGGACAAGGAAAAACTATGAGATAAAATATCTCAATAAGTAAATGTATGGATAACCCGTGGGTAAAATTTGAGCATTTCAGATAAACAGCTTAAACATAAACGGAATGTTCAATGATAACCATTATGCAGAATAAAGTTCAGTAGTAGTCAATTAAACTTATAGCATGCCAACAAGTGTAATCAGAAAACGGATACAAGTACG